TCCCTCCCTCCCTCCCTCCCTCCCTCCCTCCCTCCCTCCCTCCCTCCCTCTCTCCCACTCCCTCTCTATCTCACTGCTGTTTTGGGGGTCGCAGAGAATAATCCTCTGCTGCGGTGAACATGCGAGCACGGTTGAACAATTATTTCCCCCGTTCAAGTGTACGCACAAAACAAGCAATCTAGCACTGTAGCACTCTACGTACGCGAAATGCGGGAAGCGCGCATGTCGGGATTCATTTGAAAATTATTTGAATCCAGGCATTCGCGAGTGATTCTGTGTTGATTGTCGTACCCGTCCTGGGTAATACAGTAACCCTCGGTTGACCACGGAGGGAAGTAGAGGAAAGAGAGGTACTGGATTGAGATCAGAGCGATTTGATGCCAAGACAACGACAACTGCTGTATCGCCTACAAGTAGTACTACAGGATAAACACTCGACACTAGACCGCAGTACAGCAGCACACAGCGAGGATCTATATCGGGAGTCAATCGGTCGTGTACTGGGGAGTCACGATCGAGCAGACTGCGACACAGGCAAACTTTGTGGTGCAGGTGCATTGTTACCATGCAAGGCTTGAGCGTAGCCCACTCCCTCGTCTGCACCAAGACCGGCGCCTCAACCTTCCTCCATAACAGGATGGTTCGAGTAGTCCTCAAGACACTGCGCGAGTGCCATACGCCCATCGCCGTTGAGGATTCTTCCCCTTTTACCACAGGCACTGGTAGGGGAAAGGGGCTATACAAGATGGATTTGGTAATCCCCCCAGGATTACACGCAGGAGAGAAGGAAGAGGAATTCTGCACCAAGTCCATTCTTACAGAGACGTAACAATCGCCAACCCATCCGCAGGTCGAAGCATCGACAAGTCGATCCAAACGCCAGGATCCGCCCTCGAAGATCGAGCTGCAAGTAAGGCAATTCACTATGCGAGAACTTTCAACCCGTCTAGATCTACCCTCCTTACACTGCTTTTTCAACGAATGGTGGTCTTGGCAAAGGCACCAATCGACTCATCGTTGCTATCGCCAACCACTTGGCGCACGAAGCTTTTTGCCGGGGGAATTTTGACGACGAAAGAGCCTGAGTTCGCCTGAAAGCTTTTCATACTAACAGGATTCGGAGACGGTTTACCTTCGAGCTAGCTCGTTTTCTGTCGATGCGAACTCGCGATGTGTTCAAACGTCATGGGCTACTGATCGACCAACTTCCACCAAGGCCAATCGGTTGGGATCTCTGCGACAACGATAGTAATGAGGGTCATTCTTTTAGGAGTGACGGAGACGAAGGAAAGGGAAAGGGAAGAAAGGAGGACGAAGACGACGATGGAGGAGGAAAACATGGAGGAGTGGAAGAGAGCAAAGGGTTTGAGCCAGATGACCTTCCCCAAAACAAAAAACGTAGGGCTAGGGAAGAACTGCCCAGAGATTCTTGTCAAAATGAGGATCAGAATGATGGTGGCGAAAACAAGGAGGATAATGGTGAAAGTACTCCTAAACGAACTAGAGTGCAAGGTAATAGCCTTGGCAGACGCGTCCAGTTTTCTTCTGTTGCTGCTGTTTCTGTCTTTGATCCGAAGGAAAGTTTAGCCTCCCCCCTGCTGCCCCCTCACGGGGTCCCAGTTCATGGCAGATAGAAGTGTTTTATGTTTTCAACCGCACTAAGACTGACGTCTTTTCATTGGTCAGCCGGTTAGCGCGGTCGATGCTAATAATGAAAACACAGCGAGGATTCATGTTCCATGTGTCATGTTACTGCCTGTAGCAGCGTTCACCTGGTTTTAAGCTTGGGGCGAGAACCTGGCCGGCTGACCGAAAGCCCTGGTACCCGAAGTAGGGGTTGCTCATGGTGCCTATCTGTTTTGCGCGCTTGTGTGTTGTGGGTGGAACATGCAAGGTAGCCGTGTGGTGCGCAGTGAGACACGAGAGAGAGGAGAGGCGGCGAAACCACGGCGGCAGCATGTGACGAAACTGTTGGCTACCCCAGTCGTAGTTTTAGTTTCGCTTCGGGCTTTGGGAATCACGCCGCTCCTTCACGAGAGTTGTGATGTTGCGACCGTTGTGACACATGATACATGAATCATGACAAATGAACAACCGATGGCGGACAACAGGCGACACACAAAACGTGTAGTCTAGAAGATGTCCGTTTAACAATAAAGCAGGTAGCCAGGTCAACGGCGCGTCGTGCACGTATACATATACAGGGCGTAGCATTTATCTGGTTTCCCCCGAATGTATCAAGGCTGTTGGCGAAAACTAAAGAGTACTTCGTAGTAGACTGCAACAGATCCCTTTTGATTGGGACACTACTGTTATGCATGTATCGCGAACGGGTAAGACTTTTTGTTACAATAATGTTTGTATATTTTCGAGAAGCATCACAACCGCAGTATCACAGGTAAGGTCTGTCAATGAATCATGAGTGAAATGTTCTCCAGTGCCCAAAACCAACTAATCTCCCCTTCATCTTCATCCTCTCTTTCTAGCCTTTTATGATGTTTGTTTGAACGTCTCTTGCAACAAGTGCAGTGCACGAATGTGCATAATAATGACACCAACGGATGTCACTTCAGGTCTGCCAAAAACAGGGCACAGATTCGTACTGGTACTCAGCGAATTGTTGTACGTATGTGTCTGGCCCGTCTATTCTGGCCCCCGGTCTACACCTTCGTGTAGCGTGCGACGTACGTACGTGTAGCAGTTGAATTTTTATTTTTTAGTTCTTTCATCAGCTATCCTGCTGATACCACCGCATCTCTTGACGCAACACCACCAGCTCAACAGCAGTGCAACCAAGTGCAGGGTGTGTGAATTACTCGAAGCTTAGGGTCCAGATCTTCCTAGCACAGAATTCGTCATCGATCGATGTTACGTTTCTCTTTTCATGCATACCGCAAGGCGCGCAGTCTATGCAACAAACATCGGATCCCTTATCCGACGGCGGTGAACACGTCCAATAAAAGCAAACGCTTTTCCGAAAGAATCCGAAGGGCACAAAAAAATCACATGAATCTGTCGACTGCTGTGGTCTGATCTCTACAGCCGAGAAAGTTTGTTCCTCTCATAGTATTGTACAAACGCTAGCTAATTCTTAAGCCATGACTCGTGGGGTTGGGGGGGGGGGGGGCAACAACCCCGCCAGCAATGAAAACGTATCAACGCTTGACACCAACACAACGAGTAAAATACGAAAATGGGGGGCAAGAGGAAACCACCGCCGTCCCACACTGACAGCGAGCACAAGAGTGGATGTGGAAACGGCTGCAAGCGCCACAAACTTCACACCACGCGCGTTAACTGCTGAAATTCCATCTGCAAAACAATGGCAAAAACGTATTGCTGCATTGTTCTCGCTCTAAACGCATGTATCGGCCACTTCCTCTCTCGCTGGCACAAGGCAAGAAACGAACCCGAAACACCGCGCTGCTACGCCAGTTGCCCTTTTTTATCTACAAGAAAAGAGATTGGCGTATTATTTTCGACATGACGAAAAGCGAAGAAATCAGGAGGACTTGATCGCGGGAGGCAGCGCGTGAGACGTGAAGACCGAGGACCAGAGGCTGGGTCGGATCCAGTTGTACCCGCTGCTCTGCACGTCGTCCTGGATGCGGCGGCCCACTAGGGAGAGGATCTGGCGGTGCTCGGGGGACACGGGGAGGTCGGTCTCCTTGAAGTTGAACAGCTCCGACACCTGGTGGTCATGTTTGACCCGGCAACAAAGAGATGCCGAGAAAGAGGCAAAAAATGGTGGGGGGGGGGTGTACTCATAGTCGTGCATGCCGTAATAGTCGTTTGACCATTGACCTCGCATCCCTACAAAGCCGGCACGGAGCACGCCGGGTTCTCACCGGAAAACAAGCAAGCGTGAGATCGAGGCTAAACAGACACAGCAGCTATGTGATGCATACGACGCGTGACGGGGCATGCTGGATATGTGGCGTACTGCTGTACCGTACCTTCGTCTGCGCGCGGTCGACGTCGAAAAGGGTCTCGAAGTACTTGAGCTGGTCGTACAGAGTCTTGTCCGGGTACTCCTGCACCAGGCGTCCCTGGCACCCCTTGGCAGGACAGGCCACGCCCATCACTCCCGTGCTCCGGGTGAGCAGCCCACAGGAGCTGTACCATGCCAGAGCCGCAGAAATTAGAGAAGCAGCAGCGGGTGGCAAGCAAGCATATCGCCAAGGTTAAACATCAAGATACGTAATCGCCGGCGGAAGAAAGCCAAAGAGCACACGGAAAACCGACCACACCATACATACAACCGATCAGCCCTTTGCCGGTTCGCACGCGATAGTTGGAGCAGTAGCAGACGAAGGTGGCGTGCGAGAGGTGGTGGGCGAGAGGTGGTGCCGTCCTGTTGGCGCTCTTGTCTTTTCGTCAAAAGGCCGGTTGGATCGACCTCTCCGTCGAGCACGCCTCAACCTAAACCCTAAAGCCACAACAGACCGATCCAACCACGAAAACAACAGGCGCCTCTCTTATACAGCTAGCTTGAGATCGCCACATTTAGGGTAAATAAACCTTGCGCAGCAGTCGAGATACGTACTGTAGCAGACAACGCGGTGCGAAAAAAAAGCGAGATTCTCGACATATACATAGAGTAAAATAAAACCTCCGATCGTGACACAGCACGGAACCCCCCCCCCCCCCCCCCACGGAAAAACCCCCCCCCCCCCCCCCCACAAATATTTTGGGGCACCCCCCACCGCAAAAAAAAGGCACCATAAATTTTTTAGGGAAAAAAAAAAAAAAAAAAAACCCCCCGCAGGGGGTG